AACGCATCTTCCCCGATATGCGGACGCAAATGTTGCGCAAGCTGGAAACGAGAGTAAGCGAGGGTAAGCTCGAAAAGACTCGCGAATCGGCGCGAACGAAGGCTCGCAGAGGGACAGATGCGAGTGCCGATTTCGAGAGCGAAGCCGAGAGCGGGATTCGCGGAGCAAATCGAACCTGCCCCACCTGGGAGGCGAGGCCTGCGATTCTCGAAGCTCGATTCTCGATTCTCGAAGGGGCACACATGCTCGCCTTCGTTCCCCTTCGGCCTGCTAAGACATCGGCATCTCCTTCACCGTGGTCCTCAAACGAGCCTCGCGCTCCGACAGGTACACATCTCGCCTCGCACCTTTCACGCACCCGCGTCCACGCTCGAGCACGCTCTCCGTAAGTTGACCACGCATTCGACTCATTGTCTCTCTACATTTTCTCTGACAGCTGCCTGCCCCCCCACGTGGCTCGTCTCCGTCGCCGAGACAGCCGCAATCGGTGCTCGTACCATTCGTTTCGCGAGAGAAACTTTGTTCCTTAATTATTCGCCAAACTTTCATCTCTTTTTAATATTCTTTCTCGATATTCTGTTCCTTGGCGCTCGATCGTTAAATGGTGTCTACCTCGTTCGTCGATTTGCAAACGGTCACGCATGATCGGCTCACCTCGGCGAGAATATATCCACGTTTCCGATCGATCGTATATTTGTTAAGGCCGTCGTCACCCTTTCACTTGACATTTCCAGTTCGACAGTGTCACTCTCTGTTCTAACGCGGTGTTCTCACTTACTCACCGACTCACCATTTTCCTCAGAGCAAACAGAGACGCCGCGAATCGGAGGAGAAGGAGGAAGCAAAATGAGGGTAACCTGGCTGCTCTTCGGCTTGGCGTTGTTGATCGCCTACGCGCACTCGGATCCGGTGGTGAAGAGGGAGGCGGAATCCGAGGATCTGAATCCCTTGAACGAGGTAAGACCAACTGTCATTCTTTTCGACGAGGCGAAATGACGGGGGGAGGGGGAGGAGCGAGGAGGAAGGAGGCGACGAAATCGCGCGGAAACCACGCGCCTCGAAACGCGAAAGTGAAAGCGTCTATTTCCAAGTTTTATTATCCTGCCGCCTCTCGCGCGAATTCGTGCTAGAAACTCGAGAAGCCCGTCCATCATCGTCCCTCCGTGGAATCCAGTTTTTTCTTTTTCTTTTTTTTTCGTGCTCCAGATCTGCTTCTCTCTTTCCTGAACGCGTGTCGCGATCGCGGTTCGCGATCCTTGAGAGAGAGAGGATGAGAAAGAGGAAGCGGAGAGACGGATCGATAGGCCGAACGGGGGAAAGAAAGAAGCACCGACAGGCCGAAGAGTGAAAGTGGTTGACTAACTTTACCGACGCAGACACGCGAAGCCGGATACGCGCGCGTAACTGAAATTCTGACCCGCGCACACGTGGTTACACGCGCGGCTCTACACGGCCCCTTGCCTCTCTCGATTCGATCGAAAACTTTCGTGCAAAAACGGCATTTCCTGTGAGAAATTTGCACCGTAGATTATGGAGGAGCACGACGTGTTTTTGTTGTTGTTTGATTGACGCGATTTTTAACTTGTAA